TAAAGCTCGTGAATAATGGTTGACAATACAACACATATGTGAGGGATGAAGCTGAGGTGTTAATGAAACATTGGCATGAGCCAGTCAAGTGGTACACCAATCCCATCCTGTGAGCAGAGGCGATAACTACAGCATCCCAAAGTCCCGCATAAAATTAAACAAACCTCTAATAATAGAAAAACGCAATCAGGAGAAGTGAATGGTCAAAACGGGATGATCACAGTACAGGTAACTTGTAAATCAGAAGTACGACTCAAGTGAAACCATAACTAACAAGAAACAGCCGCCATGTTGGTCATTGTTCATCAATGAACATAATAAGCTGGAGGGGGGAGATAAGTACAGGGAATGTTGAGCAAGCAAGTACCAATTAGAAGACAGAGAGAGCAATTAGATACAATTTTGCTGTCACAAAACACTAAACGGCAATACTGTGTGAGGCAGACAGGAAGCTCGGGAGCTGCAGATGAAAAGCACAACCCAACGGTATGATTCTAACCTGTGGTTTAGTTAGAGGTGTTTCTTAAGCAATTCACGCAATGGCTGGCCTTGGCTCAAATGCAGTCCCTTAGTGAATACAAAATAGAAAGAAATTTGATTTAGGCATTATGCTTAACGTGTACCCCGACCAAAGCAATCGGTGAATATAAACTAGGTGATTCGAAGAACATAGCTTAGCACACATCTAAGTGGTTGATAGACTTGATAATGACAGTGCCAACCAATGCAAAAAAACGGATTCCGCGCTTGACAAACACCTCACAACAACAAGCCATCAAGTTGACCTGACCTAAGGGTTGAGCCACACTGCGTAATCATAATCCTCAATTGTTGGTATTTCATTGAGCCATTTTGATCACAAGGAATAAACCAGTCATGCATGCGCCAAAGTAAAAGAGTTATAATGTCGGCCTGCCTTGGCGTTAGTCACATCATAACCGCTCGTTGCAATTAACAGAGGAACCACGCCAAAGGATCACGTAGGAAGATCTTGAAAAATGTGGAAGCCATAGTAATTAGGATCATGAAGCCCGAGCTGTGCAAGCAACGTAATCTGGTTCAGGCGCTGCTATTACCATAGCCATAAGAACAATTACCCATATCTCTTTATGTGACACCTTCTATTCTCTCCCTCTCCTCCCTCAATCCGCATTTACTGTCTTATTCGCAAGCGTACACACCTGTTTTATTCATTCTGAACTAACACATTTCACATCATCTCCAGTTCACACATTTTTCATTCGACTTTTCCTTATTCAATTATCGTGATCCCATAGCCTGTTGTCAACCGAACATTTTGCACACAGACATTCACTCAAATTCAGCCTAGGCCTTGCATTAATCTACTGACTAATCGAACTATATATGTAAATGCCTGAAGCGAGATATCAAACAGAAATTTCTTCGCGTCTCGACTTTGTTCTTAGCGGACATGAGNGACATGAGTACGCCGTCAGCGTAATGTCAAGGATAGCTTTGAGATGAGACATTGGTACGTCCAATCCCATCGTTATATATGGGACTAGTTTATTCAATGTTACATAAATCAACATGTTTTACGCGAGGGAAATAAAAGAAGTACTTGCATCTCCTAACACCTGTTTTTTTCGTGCTAATGAATCCAATGCATCATGCTCACGTACTTCACGGCATACAGGGAGATTAGTTCAAAAGGCTCAGTATGTACCCAATCTAATATTATCTGAAACTCGAAAACAGAACAAAATATTATCCTCTACTCAATATAAATCATAAAAATGTGCTCTTCTGTATATATTTACCCTAATCTAGTAGTGATGTTTTACCTCCTGCAAAAGCAGGACGCAGCACAACCATTGTTGATCTGAAACAAAGGAAAGTCGGGAAGGCTTGCAGCCTATCTGCGTTTTAATTCTACAACACGCGATTGATTTATAGTCTAATTCAATTAAAGATATCCCAAGAGAAGCTCAGTATCACATACGAAGTAAACAGAAGCAGCCGATCGAATCGTTATAGGAGAATGAATTTCGTATAATTTCAGTTTAATGAATCGTCAGCGATGGATAGATCCTCTGATTAGAATAACTATCCGTCGTAGAGCACGCCATCGCATAGTTAATTTTGGTATACGCACTTTAACTTATTCTGGGCAGAGAGGAAATTGGACCCGATAGTTGCAAAAGGAGTCGAAAAGAAATAAACACAAACAGTTTCGGAATAGAATGAGCGATATCACGTTTTACACCGAACCGGTAGTGGCTGACCTTCATCCCGGTCTGGATTCAGACGACTGTAGTAACCAAAAGGAACCCCCGCCAGTGTCAGTGTACTACGGTCGCCGCCATGTTGAAGCCAAGATTTGATTGATGAATCAATAGCGGTTGCGATAGATTCCTTTAGCCAAAAAGCTTGACTTGAACCGGACGGTCCAGCACACGCAAGACGTCCTGGAACTTTCCCCGCGGACGAGTGAAGTTGCTCAGTCAGAAAGAGAGTACCCATATCGGATTGGAGCAGAGACTGACGATGACAACGACGATCCCAATCGTATATTTGAAATACCAAACGCTGCACGTGACGGAACAGTGTGGTCCAGCAGTGAAGTTGGAGACGTAAATCTTGGGGAGGCTAGAAAGTGCAATAAAAATAGACATAGAAAGGGAAAACACGATAGTTTACTATTTCAACTGCATTGTATTTAGTGGAATGCAAATTCTTTTTAAATCCGATCAACGAGTTCGGCTAAACTACCACTGAAATGGGAAACGATTTGACAATTGGAGATAAATAAGAAACCTGGAATCAGTTAAATTCAAGTGAAGAATTAATGAACCTCATAACGTTCGGCTGGATGTGTTGGAACGTGTTTGTTTGCCAGCATCTAACACCTCGACCAAGCGTCTCAAACAGCTCCTGCTGAGGAAGCCCTTTACCTGATCCATATGAGATTAGCATTTCTCCACTAAGTCGGTTGAATATTTCTAGTGCGGCTCGGTCCCCGGAGAAGACAGTATTGCTCCTGAGGAATATAAAGTGCTTTCCGACTGTGGTAGGGTCATTGCATTTGTTAGTTCATCAGGTTTAAAACACTTCGAATGTAGTTAGATAACTCAAGAAGGGTAACAAGAGGGTGTGTACTGACTACCGAGGCTTTGATGTGGCTAATAAGATCACAGTGATCCTTGGAATTCGCTTTACTGCAGCATGGGTAGTCGCACTCGCTCTAACCAGGTGTTTGTCTACAGTGAAGGATGCTTAGATATAATTTTCCTCTGATAAAAGATCCTGAAGCACCGCCCGTTTTGCCGATTCTGTAATGTATTTGATTGAGCAGACAGTGTCCTTGGGAGGATAATACAAGCTGATGGAAAACCTCATACTTCACTTCGGCCAACTCTCACCAGAGCATGAGCAAGCTGTGAGTAGTTTGATAAGTTTCATGGGAATTCGATACGAATGACGTCACCAAAAGCTCTCGGCTTTCTGTTCGAGGCTGTCTACCTAGCCTTTACAAAACCACGCATGATCAAAAAAGCGATAGGGATTTAGCAGGGACGTGCTAGGATTTAAACTGACCTGTTTTTTATGTCAATAATATGATATCTTCCATCCAGTCTACCGGAACTACTTTATGTTCATGGAAGAAGGTGCTACTGATGGCTTTCAAATATCTGGGCATAACGAGTCTTCCAAATGGTCAGGTGAAAGATCATGTGCGGTTGAATACGGACAAAACCTGAAGAGTCTACCAGCATCTTCCAAAAACGCCGTCAACGACATTAGCCCTCGAATTTAAATCTGCATTTGCCGAGTTATCCCTTGTCGGATACCCCCTAAAGCTATAAGGCTCGGCCACCGCGTGCTGAAGACTAGAACAAGCTGGACGTGTTTGATCACTGATGTCTATTTACTATGGATGACTGGAGTGAATTCCCGTGAAAAAGTAGTATACAATTCCTTGGAAAGGAAGCAGTCGAGACATTACGCTTATCACAGCTTTTGCGATGATATGATATCCGATCATGTTCTTTATGCTTTAGCTGGGGAACACATAAGACGACCACTAGAGCTGGTGCGGTTGCTGTGGTGGATAGTTATAAACATGGTACAGAACTGTCAAATCGAACATTGCAGATTCAGGACTTCGAAATATCTGACTTACGCCACTGAAACCAGGACTGGGTTTCACTCTAGTCTCCTGTCATTGTGCATAAGCGATTCCTATGCGTGGTATCGATGAATGGGGCTCATCCCGCAGAATGAGCCGGGCGCAGAAAAGTTAAAAGTATGGGGTGCATGAACCGCTGATTTTATTTATCGGTGGGATAGACTTTAAAATGCAATGATGTGATCTAAAGGCATTTGACTGTGACGAAGATCGGCACTAAGGAGAAAAACTGTCAAATTCCTGGCCAATGCATCGTGGATTTTCGGTATAATTGGCGGGACAAATAGGAAGGTCAATAACTGAGAACTGCACACATTATAATATTAAAAGAGCAGCAGCAACAGACGTTTTATGATGATCTGTACCCTTTCCCTCCCACACCACAAGCATATCCAATGTTGAGAAATTAAAAAAACGACCGTAACACAAGATGATTTATGTGCGCTACTCAGTCAGTCAGCCCACGCGTTTCAGACTAACACTCACCCAGCCAGATCTTTGTCGAGTCAACGCAAACGAGTTTGGTGAAGCTCCGGCTTCCACGGCCTCCACACGAGATTCGATTCGATCCAACACTTCACGAAAAGACGGTGGGGCGTCCACATCAACCGGGTCGGACCAGATGTGGTTTTCTCGAAGAGTGCTCGCTTTATCAAGGGCGTTGATGGCGCTAAATGCGAGGGGATTATATTTTGGCAACTGATCCGGATGAGACAGATCAATCAAACCCAACATTAGATCGCGCAATTTAGCGCCAATTTGAAGCAGTTCTTCCGCCCGAAATCCACAACCTACACTTGTGTAGCTCTTCATGGTTTGGTTCGAATCCTCACCACAAATTTCTGCATCGGTTAAGCACAACAATCGATGTTGTAGACAGTCGACAAATGTGAATACTATGGGTAGATAACTGAAAAAAATAACCGGAAATCGAGGAACAAACAGGCAAATGACTTGCAATGCCGGAGCACTTAAAAATCCAGAAATACGAGATAAAACCAAATAGTTACTTATCGGACAAATTGTGATTTTCAATCCGACAACGGGTGATTACATGTACCTCCTCCTATATGTGTAAAATGTGACCGTGGACTCAAACAAACTCGAATAGGATCCAAAGATCAAGGAACAAACAGGGAATTTGCGAAACTGGACTATGTGAAAACCTGATTACATTCCGAGACAATTCAAAAGTAAACACAACGTCAGAAATGTTGGTAAACAGAGAAAATACGGCTCTTGAGCTGGCCGGACCTTTAGTAACATTAAGTGATAAACATAGAAAGCGCGATAAGAGAACCTGTTATTGAAGAACCAAGCAAAAATAAGATTGAACTAGCATAGTGAACGACCCTAATGAAGCCAACTTACGTCTGCATCTCGAGCATGACTACAGATGGGGGACACTCGCCGGAACATAGGGTGTGGAACAAAGAATAATCCCAGTCCGTAGTTGCCATATCAGTTCGGCTGACTTTGGTGCGCGAATGTTGGATCAAGTGCCACAGGGCACGAAGAAAGACTAAATGACGGGAGCAAATGGAATTTAATCTGAAGGAAATGAAAAAAATAAACATTAAGAACGAGGGAAGAAAAAGTTTTGAATTGACAGAGAAGAACATTATTTAACGATCATAAGGTAAGTAAGTAAAGCAAAGAGGACATGAATTGCACTAGTAGCATCATTGTGAGCGACCAAATATCAAAATAACTATAGCCTGGATACCCTCGAGTTAAGCAGAGCTGAATGCTACTAGGCGCCTCTCTGGGTTTTGGATAGGGCGATACCTTCACCGAAGAAGGTCAGCCGCGAATGAGTTGCGGCATACCGCAACAAATAAGCAGTCGTGAACAAACAGCACTACCAGGGTGTGGTGGATTTCGGGCTGATCACCTGGCTCCTGTTTAAAAGCCACTAAACCCAATGATGGTGTTGTGACAAAGGTTGATGTGACTGGCCTTTTAAAACCCAAGTTATTGACCCCTCACTTCCGAGATGAGGGATTACCTCCTGTTGCCATGCAGTTCCCAATTGATTATGCAAAAGCTAGAAGTATACCCTCAAAATAAAAAACGCCGGCTCCGGCTCCCGTAGCATCAAGGTTCCCGTGTCTGATAACCACTACTATTTTTACAATAGCGGTTCAGAAATTTGAGGTCAGCAGAGAGTGACGTTAGCGCTAAGCCAGCGCGCCAACAATGCCCTACTCTCTTGGGAACCTATATCGTCAAGGATCGTCGTAGCGCGTTTCAAAGGTTATCCTACCAACCTCAACGTGGTAACAGTCTACGACCCCACTGTACCATTCGGCAGCGTAGTGAAGGACCAGTTTTACGGCAATTTTCAGGATAGTAAATCGTGTCCCCAAGAGAGACGTGTTTGTCGTGGCGGGAGACTGGAATGCTCGTACGGGTGGACAAGGATCTTCAACAAAACATAATTAGGAAATTTAGACTAGGCCATC